TCTCTGGAACCTGTCATGATTAGTAGAAACAAGAACCAAATTTCGAGAATAATGTTCCTATGAACTACTAGGATGTGGTTGTAAAGTGCTCACAGTAAAGCAAATATCAATATCTTACAGGTTCTTACCATGCGGCAGGTGGTGACAGGCAACCAGCAGTGTCAAATAACTCCGAAGATTGTGTAAAATGATTGCCAGGGGAACGTACATATACACGGTGTAGAAATATGTGGAGCTGGGTTGGCTATATATGGTAGCAAAAGATTAGCAATAATCAATTCAGAGATGCAATGTTGAATAAACGCTCAACGACGGTACTGTGCTGGTCCTAGGCTAGACCAAACTAGAGACGCGAGCCTAGAACACTAATGAGGTCACGTCGTAGCACAACTAGCATCAATAAAGGATATGAAGTAGCTCTGGACAGCAAGATATAAGTGAAGATCACAATAGCAGTAGACCTATTTAGAAGCTGATGTTGAGGTGCCAAATACTGAACTAGCTTCTGCAACTATTTAGATGCGGCTCGTCGCTAGCTTTCATTTGAGTACTCGCGGAGCCAAAACAGACTTCATATGAAGAAGTTATGCCTGTTTTACTGAACAGTGCACAAAACAGATTCCAATCCGAATCCAACTACGAGATTGAGTCTAGATAGATCCAAATTTTGTTTTTTTCCTCCTCTTTTTTTTTCTCACACTTTTTTTCTTTCCCTTTCTTTTTTTTCTCTGACTTTTTTTTACTTTTTTTCTCTCTCGTTTTTTTTCTCTATCTTTTTTTTCTCTCTCCCTCTTTCCAAAACAAACTAGATAAGATGTAGATTGGATCAAGCGAAAATGGGAATGATCTCAACTATGATTATGACAATGAACGGTGTGTAGCACGTGGAGGAAATTGATGGATGGGTGGTGGACAGCGAAAGGGATAATGATGCAGCGGCGACGTGACTAATGTGAACAGAACTCGAAACTCTAAACGACCTAGACACTAAGACCAGCAACTCGACACGACGATGCAACCGATAATTCAACTATGCAAGCAATGAAAAGAAAATTGCAAAGGCTCAGACTGGCTTGGACAAAAGATGAATAGATCTAACTCTTTTTTGTGGATTTTTCTTGGACAATAGGTAAGAAAATAAATCTAATCTAGGAAAATTTGAAATTCTCACCGAGCAACCTGAAAACTGATACCACTTGATAGAGGCGAGGGTCCCGATCTTTCGATGAGATGATAACTATCGATTTGGTGGAGACGACTTTGACGATCCGACTACAAACGTGCACGAGTTGCGCCTTAGTAATCGCTAAACCAATCTCCTGAGGTTACTGACGATGCTGGAAGCACGGTCAGCCTAACCACGAAGGTCTATTCCTGCAAGCAATCGAAGAACGAGCAAGAATATGATAAAGCAATCTGAATATTGCAAATATATATGAAGTATTGATAATGGTGGGGATCCGAAAGCGGTCTTGGTCTGGTCGTTGGACACAAACGAAATACACGAAGTTGCAATGGCTAACTTTTAACTAAACAAATCCCCAGGAAAAAGCTACTAGATGGATCTACTTATATAGGAGCAAGGGGTGGCGGCCAAGGAGGTGGGAGGACGTCCCAAGGCAGCCTAAAACTAACCCTAGGTCGTACAAGGCTCATGGGCCCAAGTGGAGGTGATGCAACACCTTTGGGCTTCTAGTTTGACTCGGATTCTGCTGCAACGTTAGATTGTTTCGTCCGTAACTCAACGCTCCGGACGACTTTGAAGGTGAATCCAATTGGGATGGAAAGAGCACGAAATCTAGTTTCCAATAAAAAAAGAATCACCCAATTCGGAGTCCGTATGAAAAAGTTGTTAGCGTTTTGAGTCAGGTATGTCTGTGCAGTCCGAATCTGAATCCAGAACGTGAGAGACTTGGACTCTATCTTCTCTTGTCCCAAAAGTGACGTGAGAGGACTTTTTGAACACAACCTAAACATCTCCTTTTCCCTTATCTTCATATGTGGATTGTACAAATGTCCCATACACCTGCAATTAGACAAAACACAAAAGTGTGTGAAGTATTTTTGTTCTGGATAACATAAATAGACTATTGAATAGTTTGCATTAGAAATCACCTGATAAATATGCATGTATGCAATATTTTTGGTCGTATCCAAGGTAGTCATGTCCTCATCACGAGAGGTCATACGGCGGCGGAGGGATCGAACCACCGGGTGACGGCGCCGAGAGAGCGTTCGGCGAGATGAGAGAGGAAGAGAGTGAGGCAGTGACAGGAGTCTGCGTGAGTTTGCTTTTTCTTTTTCTAGAAACTTTTTTAACATACTGTGCAGCAGCGCCGTATCCGAACCATCCGGTGCATCGCACACAAACACACAAGCCGTCGTCAAACAAGGAAAAAAATCTCTTTCGCATGCTGTGCATTCTGATGTTCATTTTGCACCCCTCGCTGTAGTCTACTACGACTATGCTTTGCAAGATTGTTGCGAGGCTTGCCTCTCTTTGCTTATTAGCATCATCATGTTATCGGTAGTAGGCCATCAATTTGCTTATTTACGCCAGTCAGTCCTATAAGCATCCATCACCACATAAATAACATTTTAGGGCATGTACGTGTTATCATATCATCAGTTCAAGCTCTCAAGGATGGCCTGATTTTGGCGGGTACCGTTGGCTGCCATAACATAATTCTTGAAGCTGATTGTATGGAGTTGATTGACGTAATGGTCAATGGGGGTAATTTGCTAGGACCAGCAACGGCCATCTATGAAGAATGTTCCTTTCTTAGTTGAAATTTTTCTTCTATTACTTTTAATCATTGTCATAGAGAGGCCAACATGGCGGCGGACATTTTAGCTAGCAAGGTGGGGTGCGATCGATCCATTGTTTGGCAATCGGAGCCTCCGGATTTCTTGTTGATGTTTTGGAAAACGATGCATCCATATTTGAGCCTGAAATATAAAACACCATGTTGGTGTATTGCCCTATCATAAGTTTACTTCTGTTGTTTATATAATGATCAAATGTTAGGAGCACTTACCCAATTGTTTGAAACAATTGCCACTTTTTCCTACATAGCTAATGTATTACTTTGAAGGGTATCTTTCTTTTAGAAAGAAAAGGGCACCATATTGTTTAGGATAACTGTAATTTTTTCATTGTATAACAAATTATTTCGAGAAAACGTTATCGCCTTTTTAAGAAACAATTGCCATATTTTGTTTACACAGCCACCGCACACAGAGATGGTGGTGTGCACATCTTCCTATGAGAACTTCCGAACATTTTTTAGAATATTTTTTATATAATAGATTTCTTTGAACTGTTTTATATAACAGATTGGGAGCCTGTGTATGTTTGCTATATTCCAGTTTCCCGCTGAAGCCCAAACTAAAGCATTGTAATATTGTTTTTAAAGGTCATCCCACGAGGTACTTAATTTCACTGTGGTTATGATCATTTCATTTTTATTGGTTGTAGTTAATTTGACTCACGCGTGATAGATTATGCCTGCGCCCTTGAAGCTACATTTATATGGTCACGTAAATTACTGGTTGGTATTATAAAGATATTAACTTCGACATGTAAATCATTGGTTGGCATTCCAACGAGCCAGGACAGTTGAATACTTGAAAATCATTACTTGTATTATTTCTTTGTAATAACATCAAAGATAATGATCAGTGATAGTGTATTCATCTACCTAATTGCTTCATCCATTTTGCACGGTGAGTATTTTATAATGCATATTCTTACATATTGCACATAATAGCCTCATGCTAACGACATATATTGCTCGTGTGGGATAGTTACAATCTTTGTACACTTGCTTAAATACCATGTGAATTACGCCAAAGACAACATATCTAAGTTATACATGAATTTCTTAAACGTGTCAAAGTAGATATGTTACATTACTTAGCATTGTTTTCTATACTTTATACAAGTACGGCCTGTTATAACATTTTGGCCATCGCGGGTGGCCCAAATTTTGGGGAGCTTGAGCTGGTTGCATGGTTAGATTTTGCGGAGTCTATTGGGCGCCGCTTGGATGTATGAGTGACAAACACCGTGGGAATGAAGCTAAAGACAACTTTCCTGATATTGTTAAAGAATTTCTTAAGTGCATCATCTAGATATTGATAATTTTGTAATAGATGTTTAGATAAAACATCGCTCAGCTTGTTACATGGACATGTCGTTAGTCTTTCTTTTTGTTATCAATTTTCATTACAAAATGGACTTCAATTGTTCAGTAATTGTGTTTGTGTTATATTGTTTATGCATGTGAAATTTAACATGTAACTCTTGTAAATTTTGTCAAGAGCCCGTGGCAACGCATGGGCACTCTACTAGTATATGATAATCAATCACTTTAATTTACTTACTTTCTGAATCAATTCCACTTTAATTTACTTACCAAACTTTTAATCACAATATAAGGTAAAAATTGATGAATATTTATTTACACAATCGTATTATTATTGAGAGGTAAATCACAATCTAACGTAGTAGAATATTTATATCCCGTTGCAATGCATGGACATTGTTCTAGTTTTTTTTTGAAGGGGGCGGACATTGTTCTAGTACTAATAAAAAACTGGGGCAAACCGACCCAGTGGACGGAAAAAACAGTATATGGGCCGGGCCAGTTTCTACAGGTGGGAGGGAATCTTCAGGCGAGACTTTCTTCCGTCTCGCTTTGAGCCAGATATAGCTCTCGCGATAGTCGCCGCGCTAAACCACCACAGGGGGAGAGAGAGACAGGCTTTGGACTGGGCCAATAGAGTCTGCACTCTTTTCCTTCACGCGTCGAAAGGAAACAAAATTTCCAACAAAAGAGGTTGGGGTCGTCGCGTCGGCGTTGCCCAATCCTCTCCCATCTCCCCCACCTCTCCTACTCCGCGCCGGTTGCCGATCTGGCCTCCAGTCAACTCCGGCGAGGTAAGAATATTTGTTCGTCCAAATTCGTCTAGTCTAGGGTTTGTGCGGAATTGTTCTTATGCTTTCTGTCCCAAACTACCTACTCAGATTGGATTTGATTGGATTGAAGTTTACTGGACTGGAGCCGATCCGATCCGATCTGATCGGACTCTGCTGGCGTCTAGAGAAGCTTGAGGAGGGGTCGCTTGCTGTCGCAGGCCACAGATCTGCCGCGTCCGCCATGGACGGCAACAAGGACGACGCTGTCAAGGCCATGCGCATCGGCAAGAACGCCCTCGACGCCGGCGATACCGCCCGCGCCCTCAAGTTTCTGTCTAAGGCCAAGCGGCTGGACCCCTTGCTCCCCATCGACCACCTCCTCAACCCCCTCCTCAACAAGGATGACCCGTCCTCCTCACCGGCCTCGTCATCATCGTCATCTGCCCCACATCCCCCACCGCCTCCGCCATCGCGAGCTGCATCATCAGCAGCCGGTGCTGACGGCTTGAGGGAAAGGAAGCAGAAGAGCAAGAAGAAGGATGGGGAGGAGGGTGGCGGTGATACTGCTGGGGTGAGGACGTACACGGAGGAGCAGCTGGAGGTGGTCCACCAGATCAAGAAGCACGCTAGGGATTACTACAAGATCCTGGGCCTCGAAAAGGACTGCACTGTCGAGGACGTGCGCAAAGCCTACCGCAAGCTCTCTCTCAAGGTGCACCCTGACAAGAACAAGGCCCCTGGTGCCGAGGATGCCTTTAAGGCTGTCTCCAAGGCCTTCCAGTGCCTCAGCGATGCAGAGAGCCGCAAGCACTTCGATCTTGTTGGTTCTGATGACCCGCCGGCATACAACAGGAGGGCGGCATCCACTGCCCGTTCATACAATGGGTTCTACGAAGATGACATTGACCCGGATGAGATATTCAGGAACTTCTTCTTTGGTGGGATGGCTCCTGCCACCACCAGGCAGTTTGGGCAGTTTGGGACGTTTCATTTCAGGACTGGCAGGATGCATCATGCTCATGGTGCGCAGCAGGGTTCTGGTGGCTCCACTGTCCGTATGCTTGTTCAGCTGTTGCCTGTCCTGCTGCTTCTGTTGCTCAACTTCCTGCCATCCTCTGAGCCAGTCTACTCCCTATCCCGCTCCTACCCTTATGAGCACAAATTTCAAACTCAACGTGGAGTAACATACTATGTCAAGCTGCCTAATTTTGAGGATCAGTATCCACACCAGAGCACTGAGCGTACAACACTGGAGCGGCATGTTGAGAGGGATTACTACTCGATAATAACACAAAATTGTAGGGTTGAGCTGCAGCGTCGCCAATGGGGGCTAGCCTACCAGACACCACACTGTGATATGCTTCAGAAGTTTGAGGCAACAGCACAGTAATTCCTCCGATGTCGCAAGGTGTGGATTGACTCTCCATGCACATTATTTTGCTGTACCAAACTAGCAATATACTACTACATCTTTAATACTCCTTTGGTGCTTTGCAACCTTATGTGCCTTGTATCTTGATATTTTTACTGCTCTGATGTAATAACCAACACTTTAAGGCCTTCTTTCCTACTTCTATTCAGTCCTTGTTATGGGTGCACACACATGGCAAGCGAGTTCTATGCTTTTCACCTGAATGTCAAATTCAGTCTTGATTGTGAAAGAGATATAGTGGAAGATGTTATTTCATGCTAGTTAATGGACATCTCCGTCCAACACATTAAGTATCTACTGAGTACTTGGCAGTACATAATTACGTAGCTACACAACTGAGTAACTGTAATTTGTTCTGACAGCTAGCAGCTTGTATGGCGGATCGATAGATCATCGAACAATCATATACACATCCGGTTTATATGGTTTAGATTAGTTGTTCTGATACTATTATATGGATTTCAGTATGAAACTTATAGCCAGGCTAAGCCATGTAAGCTGCACTAGTACTAATGAATGCCTGCCACTTTTCCTAGTTTTGAAGAGTTACCGAAGTTCTGCAGATTCTTAGATTTGTTTGTCATAACCGTCCTGGCTAGATTAATTGATCTTCCTATGCTTGGTTTTGTAACCAGTGGCGTGCCCATACGAAGCTGTCAGTTCTAGATTTTCAGTCTAGCCATGTAACCAGTGGCATTCCCATACGTTCTTGATATTTGTTAAGCCTCTTGTTCTGGCTGTATTTTTTGATTTTTTTATTACCTTTATGTGCGGGATGGTACATTTGAGTGTGTGCATTGGACAGTTGCCTATGGACGTAACCCCAACACTAGGCGTGTGTAGTGTCATTAATGAATTCAACAGGCATGTTGTAGCAATGCATTAAGTGTTGGTGTATACATGCCTCGATTCTTTTGCTATTGAGTTTTAAGAAGTGATTGAATTATATTTCTCTGTTACAAAATTGACATGGCTAGTGATTGCAGAATAATGAATGGGGTTACGCCTAGGCGGGGGACCAAATGCCTAGGCGAGAGGTTAATAACTCCTTGAATCGTGATTTAACAAATAGAAGATCCTATGTTTCAAAGCGGTTTTGTAGCCTTTTTCAGTAAGCTGGCTGACGGGATATCTGCTACTAGTAGGACCTTGAGCTATGCAATCCTTGTTACACTCCTAGATTTAGATTATTGATGAGTTGATCCCAAGGATGATGTAAGGTAGCTTGGCTAAGTTAAATACCTTATGCCCTATTTGTTTGCATAATAAACAAGCAATGCTGATATAAAAATGGTGAACATAGCTCAGTTCATGAACTACATGAAATTAATGTGCAGACGAGCATTCTTTCCAAGCACCACACCCTAAAAACAGCTCGATGCACTTACCTTTTTGTAGCTATCACAGGTTTTCATATACTATGTTATTTCTAGTCAACAGCAATTTGTATATTTTGTTTTTCTATATGTTGACAAAAATATCAAGTAATGTTTGATGCTTTGATCATGAATATAAGTTGCAGTGAACATAATTTGGATAGAAATCCATGGGTGATATATCATCAACAACAATACATGAGAAATGCAATTTTTAGTTTTTGCTCCCTTAGGTTCCCACTTCCTTGTCTGTGGGAAGTAGAAAACCAAATGCACTAAACTCAGTTGGATTCACCATGTTTCATTGTCTGTTGGTGAGCCGGCTGGTTATAGCCATGGGGTCACACTTCAATGGTTACCTTCTGACATGGACGATGTGACCCATTACCTCATACTGTCTACTAATTATTATTTTTACCAGTATTGCTCATTAATTTGTTGCTGTACATTTACTCTCACTTGCTCATTTGGATTAGTAAGTTTGCACGTGCATTGCATGTTGTGTTAATGGGAGGTGGCCTCTTGCTAATTGGATTAGTAAGTCTGCACAGGCATTGCATGTTGTGTTAGTGAGGTGGTCTGGTTACTTCTTACTCAGCTTGATTTGTAAAGGAAAAAAAATCTAAAGTAAACCGCATGTTATTTGAGAATAGTTGGGTGTATTTGATCAAAAACTGTCATGAGCTGTTCATAACAGAAAAATCAGCGACAAACCCTAGTATAGTTTTGGACGGCTTGTTCCTGAATATTTAATGGATAGGAGTATGTGCTAGTGGCACTATGCATTTTTCTTTAAAATTACTCGGAAGCATTGTTTCTTTTATATTTTGTTACGTGACAGTTTGCTGATACTCCATTTTATAGGGTCGCGGCGAAACAGGAACTTTGGTCATGGTGTAAAGGTTTTCCAATACTGCTCCGTTGATTATCTGTTTCAAATTGGAGGCGGAACAAGTTAGTTTGGACTAGTAGTAAATTTTGTGGAATAAGTGCATTCGATGACTATACTCACCGCCTTGATGTATCTTAACAGTGTTAAGGCGTATGCAGCCGTAACTACTTGAAATGATATGCAATTTGTTAGTACGTTTCTTAGGGGCTGAACACAGTGCAGACATGCATATGTATATGAATCATCTATATTTCTTCTTCTGATGTTATTGAAGAATATATACCTGACCTAGCAGGCTGTTTTGTTTTTTTGTTTTTTTGAAGAGTACTCAACTTTTTTCCTGAAATCCCTGCAAAAGAAGAAATTATACCTCTTTCTATAAGATTTAATGAAAATTGATAAATCATTTAATGTAATTGCTATGTTTAGTGTGTGACTCGTTATTTTTTTTCTTTTTTTTAAGAAAAAAACAACTACTTACAATAGCTTTATATATATAGAAGAAAAAAGAGACGTATGTTATAATCACGACGGATGAGAAGATAACACCCCTCACAGATCGCATTGACTCTCCAGCTAAAGCCCCATCTTTTTTTTGAGGGAAAGCTAAAGCCCCATCTTAAGCTCTTGCGTAATGAGATTGACGAGCTCAACTTCATTAACATAATTCACCTGATGTTCCACATGATGTCATATCATCGCACAACATGCATGAAAAAAAGCTTACTCCCACTACCATATGTCTCTCAATATACGAGCATGTCGCTTCATCATGACATGCATGAAAAAAACCCGTCTCAGCGTGTAAACATATGAGGATTTTCATTTTATTATGCTATATTTACTCATATGTGTAAACATATGAGTAGTAATCAAGCATAATAAATTATATGTATTTTTAGTTTTAGTTTTTTATATTATTACTTCAAACATTCCTGTTTCATACTATGAATCACATTCAAATATGCTGTAGAATATTCTCGCAACAACATGCGGGGTATCATCTAGTTGTTTAAAACCCTTCTGTCTGGCTTTGGGCATTAATTTACTGGCATATCACCATATTTTTATAGAAGATAGAAGTTGAATTACAAGACACTATAACTTGATGCGAGCAACAAGTATAGCAAAGACTTCACACGCGAGCTAATCAACATATTAGCCACCATGATAATTGCAAACACAACGCAAAAGGTCCTGCCCTAAACCAATCATCTAGCTGCGCCACAATAAACGCCGATCACCACAAGAGCAAATAACTTTAGCCAGACTTTCTTTGTCAACGCACTACCCACCCTTGAATGCCTAAGATGAGACGACGAGCGGATAGCCCTTGGATGCCTAAGAGGAGACGACGAGCGAATAGCGGGACTCGGTCGGACTTGAGAAAGCCAACGTCTTGGGGCATTGACACCCGCGTACTTAGCGCCTGTGAAGATCAATTCGGACTAGCGGCAAGCACCGGAGAACCGCATCATAGGACCTCCAAGCCAAGTCTCTGCTTGTGATGCTCTGAACAGAGTAATGACACCAAGACGCCGCCATCGCCGGTCCTACAACGGACCAAGGCTTTTGGCCGAAGACCACAACTCAATCAAGAAGGGAAGATGCCGACAACCTTGGCGTCGCTTCCAAGGAGGGAAACGACGCCCACGGGCGCGTCGTCACGAGCTCCGACCAAAGCCAAGCAGGATTTTCATCCACACCATCGCACACCTCCCACCCCTACCATCAGGTTTGGCCGAACTCAGTGGCAGAGCTACACCCCAGGCCTGGGGGGCCTTGGCCCGAGTCGTGGCAGGAGTAGCCTTTGTTGATTGTAGTAGAAATGGTATTGTTAGTCACTGTACATCACTGTAGCAATGAAGCAGGCCTGGGGCCCAACTCTAGCCTAGCTCCGCCCCTGGCCGAACTATCGGGGTCACGCCATCGTTGCCGCAGTACCTCACCGTCATGATCAAACCGTCGTGGAAGAACGGCCCTCACACGACCGAGAGCACTCAAACTAACACCTAGCTCCTGCACGGTCGAAGAAGACAGGCTCCAAACCACTCACAACCAACATCGCTCAGATCCGCCGACACCACAAGCGGGGGTTGGACACGCCACCTCCTGACAGCCAGCCAAGCTGTGGCAGTGACCCAGGGCCTTGCACGCGAGAGGTAGCGTGCCGCGCCAACCGCACGTGGGTGACCGCCCCTAACGGCATACCCGGCCGCAAAGCGCTGGACCGAGCTTCCAAAGCCACCCCGGGCAGTCACCCACACCCCAAAGTGCCACCTTCCATGTCCACTCCGGCGACATCAGTAGTCGCACCGTGCACCCTAGCCTCCGCAATGGCTTCTGGCCGCCTCTCCCGACCACCCCATCCTGGTCGAGATCTGCTGCCACCAAGGCCCATCCACACCGCGACCTCCAGCTCCAACACCGCCGCCCCGAGAAGACCACATCTCCTCCCTTCTCGGCCGCGCTTTGCCTCTTCCCGCACTCCCCTCATGCGCCGCAACACCAGAGACAGACACCTCACCGCCCGCTTGATGAGCCTCCCCGCGCGAAGGAGGCTGATATGTTTCAAACATATCTATAACTTTTACTATTAAATGCGATTATATTATCATTCTTACATACTTTGGCCATAATTATATTTTTTTTACTAACATATTAATCCAGTGTCCAGCGCCAACTGTTGC